GAAAAACAACAGGGATTATATCCAGGAAAACCACAGACCTGTAGCAAAAAGGGAATCAGCTCTTAAAGGGCTTGCAAACAGACAAGTCGCTCCAGGACCCAGGGCAAAAATATCACTTTAAAAAAGCACCTACACCATATGAAGGAGACCCACTTACTAATCTTAAAACATCTGTCAGAGAGGCAGGAACTTGTTATGACTCCCTCCAAGGTGGCAAGCAACATTTTTGTATTCTCATTCTAACTTGTTAATGAAGGCACTAGTGGTAGCTAGCATGGAACTCTCCCACAACCCTGTTAGTAGCAGAAGGCACAGCACACTGAGGGCCCCACCAATCCCTGCACCATAACTGGGCATCTCAACCAGAAGGTTTGAGGAATCCCAGAGAGTTCCAAACAAGATGAACCTAAAGAGATCCACACCAAGACACAAATTTCAAATGGCAAAAATTAAAGATGAAGAGGGAATCTTAAAATCAGCATGAGAAAAACAACTTGTTATGTGCAAATGAAACCTTGTAAGACCATCAGCAGATTTTTCAGCGAAAAACTGCCATGTCAGAAAGGAGTGCCATGACATATTTAAAGTGTTGAAAGAAATTAAAAAAAACAAACTTCCAACATTTCTCTACCCAGCAAGGATACCATTCAGAATTGAAGACAACATTAAGAGTTTTCCACATAAAGAAAAGTAACTAAGTTTATCAGCTATCAACCAACCTTAAAAGAAACGTTAAAGGATTTATTTAACCTGAAAAGAAATGGCACTAATTAATAACAAGAAAACATGAGAGTAAAAATCTCACTGGAAATATAACAATACAGTAAAAAGATGGTAGATCAACCACTTAAAAGGAACTGTTAAGGTTAAAAGACAAAATGAGTAAAATTAACTAAAACTGCAATTATTAATTGAATGTTCATAAAATTAAAAGATACAAAATGTGACGTCAAAATTATAAAACATTGGGGGTGTAAAAATTTAAAGCTTTGGAATGTGTTTTTTGGATTTTATTTCTAGCAGTATATGCAAAATGCAAATCAGTTAGATCCTTTCATTGATTTCTAAAAATTTTCCCCTCCTCTCTTTAGCTTCTATCCTCAGTTAGGCCTCAGCTTCTCTTATTCAGACTTTTAGAGCAGCTTTCCCTCTGGTCTCTCTGCCTCCACTCTTTTTCCACCCAATCTACTTCAATTCTCCACAGGATGACCAGAATAATCTTTCTCACACAAAAATCTGATCATGGTTCTTCCTTTTTTAAACACTGTTCACTGAATTAGTCTATGACCAAATTTCCAAGAAGTGTGGGGCAGTAGTCAAGCACACTGGAGTTAGCTGCTTTGGGTGTATAGTACAGTCCTACTACTTTCTGTGAGATTTTAAGCAAATTAATTAATCCTGTTGTGGCTCTATTTCTTCATTTGTGAAGCAGAAAAAATTACACCTACTCATTGTGTGTTTGGCATAATAAGTAAATTTAAACTTGGAAAGTAGTTTCAAATAATGCCTGTCATACCACAAACATTTAGCTATTATTACTGTTACCCCAGGCCCTTCATATTTTGGGTGCCATATTACCCTTCAGTTTTGGAATGTGTAGTTTTGGAAAGATACTCAACACTCAAGGATTAGAAGAATTAATGTTAAAATGTCCATACCACCCAAAGCAATCAACAGAACCTGCATAAATAATTCTAAAATTTGCATGGAATAACAAAAGATACTCAATAATCAAAGCAATCTTGGGAAAGAAGAACAAAACTAAAGGTATCATATTCCCTAATTTTAAACTATTCTGCAAGCTACAGTAATCAAAACAGTATGGTATTGGCCTAAAAACAGAAACATAAATCATGGATCAGAACTGAGAGCCCCCAAATAAATCCACATATATACAGACTATCAATTTATGACAAAGGATCTAAGAACAGCAGAGAAAAAACAGTCTCTTTAATAAATACTTTTGGGAAAACTGGACAGCCAAAAGCAAAAGAATGAAACTATGCCATTATTTTACACCATACACAAAATTAACTAAACATGGGCTGAAGACTTAAATGGAAGACCTGAATCCAAAAATTTTAAGAAGAAAACATAGATGGTAAGGAAGCTCCTTGACAGCAGTCTTAGCAGTAGTCTTTGTGGATCTGACTCCAGAGGCAAAAGAAACAAAAGCAAAAATAAATAAATGGGACTAAATCAAACTGAAAAGCCATCATCAAAATGAAAAAGACAATCTACTGAATGAAAGAAGATATTTACAAATCATATATCTGGTAAGGTGTTAATATACGAAATATATTAAAAAATCACACAACTTAACAATAAAATAACAAACAGATCAATTAAAAAATAAGTGGAGGCTCTAATAGACATTTTTCCAAAGAAGACACAGATGACCAACAGGCACATAAAAAGATATTCAACACTATGAATTATCAGGGAAATGCAAATCAAAACCATAATGACATTATCACTTCACACCTGTCATAAATGACTATTTTTAAAAGACAAAAAATAGTGAGTCTTAGAAAAGATGTGAAGAAAAGGGAACCCTGTGCATTGTTGGTAGGACTGAAAATTGATGCAACTACTATGGAAAATAATAAAGATTCTTCAAAAATTAAGAAAAGATCAACCATATGATCCATCTATTATGCTTCTGAGTATTTATCAGAAAAACATGAAAACAGAATATATGAAGAATTATTTCGTGTTCACTTCAGCAGCACATATACTAAAATTGGAACAATACAAAGAAGATTATCATGTGCCTCCATGCTCATTGCAGCATGAACATAATAGCCAAGGTATGGAAACAACCTAAATGTTCATGAATAGCGAATATGGGGGGGAGGGGTGTATGTGCGTGCGTGTGTGTGTGTATGCACACATACATACATACACACACACACACACACACACACACACACTATGGAATACTACTCATTTGCAACAACATAGATGGGCCCTGAAGGTATTATAAGTGAAATAAGTAAGATGGAGAGAGGCAAATACTTATGATTTCATTCATATGTGGAATCTAAAACAAAACAAAACAGAAACAAAAATAAAAACAAAACAAACTCAAAGATACAGAAAATAGATTGATGGTTACCAGAAAGGAAAGTGTTTGAAAGGTAGGTGAAATGGGTGAAGGGGGTCAATGGATGGTGATAGATGGTAACCAGACTTTGGTGGTGATCACTTAGTAGTGTATACAGATGTCAAATCATAAACTTATATCCTGAAACAAATAATGTTATATACAAATCTTACCTCTATTAAAAGAAAGACTTACATACAATGATTAAATTGGATTTATCCCAGAAATTCAAGATTAGTTCAACAATCGAAAATCAATTATAGGAATATTACATAATGATAGAATAAAAGATAAAAATCACAAATTTATCTAAATAGATGCTCCCACAAAAGCATTTGACAAATTCAATACCAAATAATCATAAAAATTCTCAAAATCTATAATAGACGAAGACTTTCTCATCCTGATAAAGGGCATCTATACAAACCTATTTCTTTTTTTTTTTTTTTTAACATTTATTTATTTTTGAGAGAGAGAGGGGTGGGAGCAGAGAGACAGGGAAACACAGAATCTGAAGCAGGCTCCAGGCTCTGAGCTATCAGCACAGAGCCCAATGTGGGGCTCAAACTCATGGACAGTGAGATCATGGCCTGAGCTGAAGTCAGACGCGTAACCAACTGAGCAACCCAGGGTCCCCTATACAAACCTATTTCTTAGCAACTTTCCTAAATACCTTATAGTAGCGTAAACTAGAGTCATCCTGTTTAACATTACATGTTGTACTTTATAACTTGTTGAGAATAGATCCTAAGAGTTCTTCTCACAAGGATATATTTTTTTCTTTTCTTTCTTTTGTACCTATAAGACACGATGGATGTTAACTAAACCTATTTTGGTAATCATTACACAACATATTAAAGTTTACATCCTAAACTTATACAGTGATGCATGTCTATTTCTCAATAAAGCTGGAAAAAAAACAAATCTCCCAAGCTCACATCATAATTAATGGTTAAAGCATAGAATCCTTCCCCCTAAGGTCAGGATCAAGGAAATGATATATGCCTCTGTCATTTCTATTCCATTCTAACCAGTAAAATAAAATAAATGGATTTGTTATTTGCAAATATTATTATTATGTCATATATTATTTAATAAGAATAAAACAAAGTAAATTTAACAAAAGAAATGCAAGACTTGAACACTGAAGCTTACAAACATTGCTAAGAGAAAATAAATACAATATAAGTAAGAGGGTGGATATTCCATGTCTGGAGATTAGAAGGCTTTATATTATTAAGACAGCAGTTTTTCCCAAATTCACCTATAGATTCAATGTAATAATTATCAAAATCCTAGCAGGCTTTTTTGCTGAAAATAACAAGCAGCTAGAACAATTTTCAAAACAATAAAAACTTTTTGGAATTGACATTACCTAATTTCAAAACTTAGAGCTACATTAACCAAGACCAGTTTTTTAAGAGTAGTTCAGGCATAGAGATCTATAAACAAGATTGAGAATTCAGAAATAAAACCATACACGTACAGTCAGCTGATTTTCAACTAAAGTGTCAACACATTTCAACTGGAAAAATACAATCTTTTGACTAATGGTGCTGGACCAAGTAGATACCTACATTCAGAAAAAAAATTAGATCTTTATCTAATATCATGCACAAAAGTTACCACAAACTGGATCAAATATTTATATCTAAGAGTTAAAATAGTAAATTCTTAAAGGAAAACATAACCTCTGGCTAGCAAAGAATTCTTAGATACGACATCAAAAACCAATCCAAAAATGAAAAAAAAAATTATACTTTATCAAAATTCAAAACTTTTGCACTATGAAAGGATACAGAAATCAAAAGATGAACCCAATATTGGGAGAGAATAATTGCAAATTATAGAGCTGATAATGAATTCGTATCCAGAATATATAAAGAATTATTTCGTGCTCACTTCAGCAGCACATATACTAAAATTGGAGCAATACAGAGAAGATTATCATGGCCCCTGCACAAGAATGACATGCAAATTCGTGAAGCATTCCATATTTTTCTGAAATACAGACAGATGAACACTAAACCATCCTGCACACCTAGAAAACTGATTTGAGGATTAACACAACAATCTGCACAACCTGGACCACAAAACTCAGCAGGTACATGTCATGGAGGGGTGAACTTAGGGAGACAGAAGCTGCAGAGGGCAGGGAGCTGTTTTTGCTTGCAGAAAGAGGGCAGAGATGTGGGCAGAATACAGGAAAAGCAACCTCAACCCCCCCAAAAAACCAGCTGGAGACAAAGTGGAAAAGTGGAAACAGCCACATGGACTTAACAAAAAAGGGAAAACGGAGAAAAGAGATGGTTTAAATTCCATTAAGACTTTATAAACAAGGGGAGAGCAGAGTCCGAAACTCCACAGCTCAATAGCTGGCAGTATCTGGTCAGAAGGGCAAGTCCCCAGGAGAAAAGACTGAGGTCTGGGGATCCTTAGGCCACACAGGAAGAGGCAGTTCACCTGCTGGGAGGGCATTTGGTAGAGGCTGTGCACACACACATGCCCAACAGGGAAAGGTCCCAGCTGACTCAGGAGAACAACCACATTTGCTGTACTGGAACAAGGACATTAAGGGTGAAGCATGGTGCAAGATGTGTGTTGTTATTTTCTATAATCCCTGAAAGGCTACTGCTACACAATCGTGTGAACTTTTCTGGGGCGGGCTGGCACCCAGCCGCAGTTTCTGGACATCAGAAACAGCATGGTCCCACGAACATTCCTGGGTGCTGCCAGCACCTGGCCATTGCTCGGTGAGACCCTCTTCCAGAAGGTCTGAGTGGGTCAAAGCCACAGTCCCTCAGAAGTTACCAGTTGGGAAACAAGCTACATCTGAGATAAAACTCAGGAGGGAGGTGCCCCTGGCAACCTGAGGACTTGGTCATGGACAGTGTAGAAGTGGGGAGTGGATGGAAGCTGGAGATAAATGAGGGGTGCATGAACACTGATCAGGGAGAACAGAGTTCTGATACTAGAGACTGGGTAGCTGGGTGACGCCATTTTCACCCCTCCCACGCATGCGCATACACACCTGCAAGTGCCAAATAATCCACCCCAGTAAGCAGAGCAGCACCATCTAGTGGAGAACAAAACTGTTACACTACACTCACCTCACTGGGCTAATCTCACTCTTCAGGAACACCACAAATCTCTCCACCTGCTTTCTAGTTTAACTTCTAGGGGAAAACAATGTAATTTCAATTGTATTTCAGTCTGTTTGCTGGTCCATCTATTCAATTTTTTTTTTCTTTTTTGTTTCTTTTCTCTTTCTTGAATACAGAAAGAGAAAAAATTTATTCTTACTTTTAATTTTTATTAAAATATTTTTTAAGTTTTTAACTATATATTTTTTACATTTTTGTAAATGTTTCAAATTCTATTTTACTTCCATTATCTCATTTTATTCTATTTCACTGTAGTCATTTTTTCAAATTTTCTAACTTTTTTCACCCTCATTTTTCTCTAATCTACCAAGCTCTTTTCAACAACCAGACTAAAACACACCTAGGATATAGCAACATTTGATTTGGTGTGTGTGTGTGTTTGTGTGTGTGTGTGTGTGTGTGTGTGTGTTGTTTTTAATATCTGAATTTTTTTTACCTTATTAATTCCTTTTCTTCCTTCAAAATGACAAAATGAAGAAATTCACCCAAAAAGAAGGAGCAGGAAGAAACGACAGCCAGGGGCTTAATAAACACAGATACAAGCAAGATGTGTGAAAAAATTTAGAATCACGATAATAAGATTGTAGCTGCGGTTGAAAATAGAATACCTTTCTGTGGAGTAAAAGAAGTAAAAGTCAGAATGAAATAAAAAATGCTATAACTGAGCTGCAAGCTTGAATGAATGCCATGATGGCAAGGGTTGATGAGGGAGAGCAGCGAATCAGCAATATAGAGAAAAAACTTAGGGAGAATAACGAAGCAGGAAAAAAAAAGTAGGAAACTAAGGCAAAAGAGCACAATTTAAGAATTAGAGAAATAAGCGACTCATTAAAAAAGAACAACATCAGAATCACAGGGGTCCTAGAAGATGAAGAAAGAGAAAAAGGGGTAGAAGGGTTATGTGAGCAAATCATAGCAGAAAACTTTCATAACCTGGGGAAAGGCACAGACATCAAAATCCAGAAAGCAGAGAGGACTCCTATTACATTCAATAAAAACCGGCCATCAACAAGGCATATCATATTCAAATTCACAAAATACTCAGGCAAGGAAAGAATGAGGAAAGCAGCAAGGGAAAAAAAGTCCTTAACCTACAAGGGAAGAAAGATCAGGTTGAAGAAAGAAAGTGAATTCCCAGGCCTCAGGATGTAGAGTTCTAAATATATCTGTCAGATCCATCTGGTCCAATGTGTCTTTCAAGTCCATTATTTCTTTAGTGATTTTCTGTCTGGTTGACCTATCCATTGCTGTAAGCAGAGTATTAAAGTCCCCTGCTATTAGCATATTCTTATCTATAAGTTTGTTTCTGTTTGTGATTGTTTTAGATATTTAGGTGCTCCCATATTCGGTGAGTAGACATTTATGATAGTTAGTTCTTCCTGATGGATGGACCCTGTAATTATTATGTAATACCCTTCTTCATCTCTTGTTATTGTCCTTAAAGTCCAGTTTGTCTGATATAAGTATAGCTACTCTAGCTTTCTTTTGATTTCCTGTAGCATGATATATATTTCTCCATCCCCTTACTTTTAATCTGAAGGTATCTTCCAGTCTAAAATGAGTTTCTTGTAGACAGCATATAGATGGATTTTGTTTTTTAATCCATTCTGCTACCCTATGTCTTTTGATTGGAGCATTCAGCCCATTTACATTCAATGTTATTATTGAAATATGTGGGTTTAGAGTCTTTGTATCTTTTGTAGGGTTCATGTTTGTGGTGGTGTCTCTGGTATCTTTGTTCCTTGCAACGTTTCCTTCAGAGCATCCCCCTCAGGATTTCTTGTAGGGCTCCCTTAGTGGTGACAAATTCTTTCAATTTCTGTTTACTTGGAAAGGTTTTTATCTCTCCTTCTATTTTGAATGACAGGCTTGCTGGATAGAGGATTCTTGGCTGTATATTTTTATTGTTCATCACATTGAAGATTTCCTGCCATTCCTTTCTGCCCTGCCAAGTTTCAGTAGGTAGGTCTGTCACCACTCTGATAGGTTTCCCTTTGTATGTTAGGGCCCTTTTCTCCCTCGCTGCTTTCAAAATTCTCTCCTTGTCCTTATATTTTGCTGGTTTCACTATGATATGCCGTGCAGAAGATCGATTCAAGTTACGTCTGAGGGGAGTCCTCTGAGCCTCTTGTATTTCTACATTTACTTCCTTCCCCAGGTCGGGGAAGTTCTCTGCTATAATTTGTTCCAGGACTCCTTCAGCACCTTTCCCTCTCTCTTCGTCTTCTGGTATTCCTATGATACGGATATTGTTGCATTTGACCATATCACTGAGCTCTCGAACTCTTCTTTCATGTTCCTGGATCAGTTTGTCTCTTTTTTTGTCAGCTTCTTGTTTTTCTATAATGGTGTCTTCTAAATCACTTATTCTCCTTTCTGCCTCTTCAATCCGTGCATTGGAGGCCTCTAATTTATTATGTATCTCATTTATCGCATTTTTTAATTCTTCATACCTATTTTTATTTTCCATTCTGTCTGTAGTCATAGTTTCTTTGATGTCCCCTATGTTTTTTTCAAGCCCAGCTATTAATTTTACCATTATTATTCTAAAATCTTGTTCAGTAATGCTGCTTATATCTTTTTGAGCAGTTCATTAGCTGTCATTTCTTCTTGTAGTTTCTTTGGAGGAGAGCTCTTTTGTTTCGTCATTTTAGTTAGCTCTCCGGCTCTTGTTAGTTTTAATGACCTGTTATGCTCTCTGCACCTATGAGCGCTGCTGTATCCAAGAAGACTCTTTGACTGTCCTGGGCCTTTCCTTTCAGAGAGTGTTTTTTGAATTGTATCTCTTGGTCTCTCTTGTTGGGTCCTTGGTTATTTTATTTTCCTATTTGTAGTGATATTTTGGACTCTCCATCTTGTGTACTCTGGCTTGTTTATTGAGGTAGCCCTGGAAAAGAAAACAGACAGACAAACACACAGGGAGCAGGAGCATACAAACGCACAGAGTAATTCAACTAACATGCAAACCGAGAGGGAAAACGAGGAAGTTAAGATAAAAGACAGAGGAGGGAGGGCAAATAATAGTGAGTATAAAATACATAAAAGGGTCAAAAAGGTGAAAAGAAAAGGAAAAAAGAAGAAAACCTATGGACAAAGAATGGTTTAAAGCATATAACCGGATTTCCCAGCTACAGTTAAATAGCTGTGTGTATGCAGTGCTGGTTGAAGAGCATAGAGAAAAAGAGAGAAGACAGGGCAGGGATGAGGCAAAATTGGAAATAGAATGAACAGGCACAAGGGATAAGAAACTTTTTTCAAAGAGCTAAAAGGTAGAATATGGTTGGATAGGTGAGAGAAGGACGCTGGTATTATCCAGAGAGACTATACAGTCTAATTACTCCTGAGAGAAAGAGATGAAAATGTCGGTACATGTAGAATTTACATCTACAGAATGGACTCCTAGTGATTGTTTAAGCAAGCCGGTGACCCGAGTTAATCAGGTCAGTGTTCTGGGGAAAAAAGAAAGAAAAGAGGAGGAAAAAAAAAAAGGGAGGAGGGCAGCTCTCAAGCAGGGATGGGCATGGGGTGATCCAATGCCTCAGGCAGGAGTTCTCCCTTGGTGGTTGTGGGAAGGAGAGTGGCAGTGCTCCAGTACCTTCTTGAACCAAAAGCTGCACCTCGCTTTTTTGTGGGCATGTAAACTCCCGGTACTGGGGGCTCAGCCAAAGTTGGTTGCACTTTTCAACCCAGTCCAGTCCCAGTCTCTAAATCCCAGTCCACATGCCCCGCTGAAAGTGCCTTAGACACACCTTACCAGGCAACCCCCTCGGGGCAATTCCAGGCCTCCTGCCTAGCTCTGGGGGTGGGGTCAGAATTGCTGCTTCTTTCTCTGGGTAG